AAAGAATATTACAAGATTCTGTATCATCATTACGAATTTCTGTATCACAGTGCCCGGATACAGAAAACTGTATCAAATTTGATACAAAAATCTGTAATTTTTTTTAGAGTGTTCTTTTCTCTTACTGTTGCCAAACTACCGTCAAAGTGTCTAATTCCGGACCAGCAGGGTAAATCCGGACACTGCTTTTTTGCATTTTTACAGCAAATTACACATTGTAGGTTCATAATTTAAACATATACTTTTCCGGGAGGCTCTGGAGATTCAAATAATTAGTAGTTTCACATCTTAGAGCCGCCCAGAGAAGTGCAACTTGAATAATAGGACCCGACTAGTACATACACTGTGAAGCGGTACTTCAATGCGTGTGCCGCATAGCACCAATGCTAAGCCACGGTCACTAGATACAGCTTTAACGTCACTACGCTGGAGTCACAAATTTTTTAATATCATGCGGACTTTAGCGCGTAATATTGACTGTATGGTATTTCACTCGATCTCTCACTTTCAAATCTTAGTGAAGAATGCACTTAATTTTCAATTTTGACGAAGTCCTGTGAGGTCAAGATTGTTGTACACATTCTTATGGCGTATTTTGCGAAACCAATGTCCTTCTACAAAAATAGCGCTGACTTTTGCAAAAATTTCTTAACTTCTGAAATAGACCAATTTTGCCTCGAAAATTTCAATATCACTCTGGTTCCGCAGTTACGGGTAAGGTTGGTGTGTACTGGCATGCACCTGCAGTGCAGTATTGGCATATCGACCTGTTGTACTGCTAGTACTAGCGGCACACAAAAATAACCTGCAAATTGTGATACCAGCAAGCCACTTTGAACACTTGTTCTTAACACCCAAATGGTCGATTTGACCCGCCGTACCTATCTGAAATATGCTGCGGGGGTGGGTTTTTGGGGGGTGGCGTTAAAAACTACCCCTAAAATTGAAGGATGTTAAAATAGAGCTATGGGCGCGATCGAAGGGTCGATTCCGGCTAAATCGGACCCGCCGAACTCAAAAATGGCAAAATAAAATCTTTCCGGTCAATATTTGGTCATATTTTGCGCCATTTTGGTCAATTTGGGGCCTAAATGACTTTTAACGGTTCTCGGCATGATGGGTATCGATTCTTGGGTTTTGAAGGCCTAAAAACCGGTAGGAATGATAAAAATGACGCCTGGGTACTTATCTCACGCTGTCTGACCCATTGGGTACCATTGGGTACCGTGAGAAAGGTACCCCATAATACCGGTCTTGCGAATTTTGAGCTACAGACGTGATCAAAGTGTCGATTCCGGCTAAATCAGACTCGCCGAACTCGAAAATGGCAAAATAAAATTGTTCCGACGGATATTTGATCATTCTGTACAAGATTTAACACGAATTTTTCTGAAATTTTGGGCCAAAATGCGTTTTTTTTTTTTACGAATTTGGCATGATGGGTATCGATTCTGGCAATGCGAGGGTGAACTATGCGTTTAGGATGTTTAAAATGATGCTGGAGTACTTTTCTCACGGTGCCTGACGCATGAGGTACCGCTACGCACCGTGAGAAAAGTACCCCATCAGAGAGTCGTCTTGCCAACAGAGCTTCAGGCGTGATTCAGGGGTCGATTCGAGATTAGTGAGACCAAACATGTAGTATTAAAAGTTTCGTGCTGCAATATTTAGTTGTGGTTTGGGGGCTTTGGAAAGAGACCCCGACCTTAAATGTTATTTGAATATATTTGTCTTGACTATAAAAGTTCCGAATACGTAAAATGTATATGTAAGTATCATCATGTAAGTCTAATCATCACCCAAGACATCATCATCCTCGGTCTGGTGAGTAGTTTTTCTGAAAATAAGGCAATGGTTTACTAATTTTGGTTTGTCTTAATTTTTTATGTTTTTGACTTTATGGCAGGATTGCATTGACTCACGGTTTGTTGTCGCAATTGCCTTTGCATTTCTTGCAGGCTGGAGTGCAGGGGAGTCCAAGGCGCCGACAACAGCATCGGAAAGTTCCACATTGAGTGCTACACCCACATCTGTCCAGCTCCCGTACTCCTTCCCATACGTCTGGCAGTTGGGTCCAGACAATCTTCCAGCCATCACTGAAGGTGAAACCCCAGCCTTCGGGGGACACTGTAGGTCCTTCAAGGAGTGTTGACGAGCCCCACAAATTCCCTGCTACGTAAGCTGCTCGCTTTATCTTTTCTGCAAGAGCCGCCTTAGATGGAGGAATGGCAGAAATGTGCTTATTATCGGAAGCAAACAACTCTTTACGAGCAGACGCGATGGACTGCAAAGAGAAGAGAATCTTCTGTAA